TGTTCTTATACTATTTTTCTTCACCAAATTTTCATGGACACGAGAACAACATATCAGCTGGTCTTCCAAACAAAAGATCTAGTCTGTTTTTCATAAAATGAAAAGAAAAGAAAGAAAGAGTAATGCCATCACAATGTCTAGGATAAATTCGAAGTAATCATTGATAGTGATTCATTAATTTCGTTACAAAATGAATATAAATATGCGTGTTTTTTTCAAATATTTTAACTCTCTATGATTATGTTACTCTAAAACCTTTTTTTAGTTATTTAACCCATCAATTAGAATTTAATTTTTAAAATTACAAACCAATTCCTAGTCCTATCTCCACAAGCAATGAAGATTTCGTTGTGACGGCCTTCAAATCAAATTCTGAAACGTGCGCTCAAAAAATTTTACTTATACCAGATTGTCTCTGCTTTTAAATAGGGAACTTCTAAAATCAGTGATGGTATTAATGAATCAATTCTGTCACACCCATTAATTCAAAATTGTAATGTAACTAAAATAGAAACGATGATACATGGTCACCGTTCACCACAGTATTCCGTTATGGAATCGAGATGGAAGAATTGTGAATATAGTCAATGTATTCTATTGCTGTAACATTTCAAAAATAACGCTGAAAAAGCAAAAATGGAGTGAAATTCCTATTTATAATTAATTCTATAGTTATCTAATAGTTATTTATTCTCTAAAAGAAACGATTAACAACTCACAAAATCAGTTTTATTTCCTCTTACAAAAATTAGAACATAAAAAACTCTACTGTAACCGTTTGCAATCAAAATTTCTGATTGCATACATCCAAACAAACATTATTGACTTGTAGAGAATCTATCTTTCAGAACAGAAACAAAGCAACATCTAGTGAACATTCCTAAGCGCACTCAATTGAATCGAATTGTAGCAATTTAAGGCTGTTTTCGCCATATACCCAAGAGTGTGAACTTAACGCGGAGTACATTTTCGAATAGAAAAAAAATGCTCAAATTTTATAAAAATATGTGACATTGTAAATCATACATTTGTTTATGATACAGCGTTATTATACAGTACAGTACACTTGCTTTTTGATACTAAAGGAGTAGCGATTCGGTCTTCAACTAATGAGTTTTTTTAACGAAACTACCAGAGTTTCGTTAAAAAAACATAATCTCACGTAACTTTCTACCCACACTTGCGAAGGTGATGTGATGTGGAACACGCCCGTTGTGGTAACGTTCCTGGTACAACCACCGAACGGCTCTCCCGTTACTTGATGCATCTCCATATACTACCAGGAGATGTAGACCATTTCATAGTCTGAATACGAATTCGTATACCTCTGGGAACGGATCGCAAATGAAGACTTCCAGCAGGATCGGTGTTCACGAAACCTTCCGTTCAACGCCAACTACTGCAAGATTGCCTGAAGGAATCTTCAAGTACATCAGGAATTCTATGCAGCATTGCTTCCAATCGACTTCTGGTCGTAATTTCGAACACCTGTTACAATACAACCGTTTAATAAAATGTTTTCTGTTTTTTCTCTTCTTTGCAACAAAACTCGCAACTACTGTATTTACCCTGCATTCCAATGTGATTCCAAGTCGTCTTTCTACCCCCCCCCTTACCGACAAGTTTGTCGGTTTGGTAGTGAATCACCCCGTATGTACGTTTCGTATGTCCGAAGTACCACTTCAAATTCATTTAATATCTTAAACGAAAATTCTATGAAGAAATTTTACAAAGAGTTCTATATTATAGCTCAGGAGTGGCGAACCTTTTTGGATCAATAATGAGTTATAGACATGCCATCAAATAACTTTAACTTGTGATTATTAGGAAACTAATAAAACTAAAGACGAGCAAATCAAAATTCTTTATTTAATACGAAAAAATACATTTTGCACTGTATAGTAGTAAATGTTTTAGTTATACATGTTATCTAAATTAAAGTAACATTAGTGTGACTTCTGTTGTTGTAGATTTTATGACAAATAATATTAGGATGGTAAGGTGTTAATTTTAACAGAATGCATGCTGAATCAGAGTCGTCTGCTAAACGGTTTCTAAGCGAGTCTTTGATGTTATTTATCTCTGAAAATAATGACTCGCAGGCATAGGTAGATGAAAATATGGTTAAAATAGCATGAGTGTTATCCATGAGTGAGCATCCATGTTAAAAAATTTCGCCACTGGCATTTTTACTTATATTGCTTGTTAATCTTTCTGCTTCAATCAATTCGAACTTTTTACTTGTTTCAATAAACTTTTAAATCCATATTGAACTAGACTATAAATCAATCAGTTGCATTTCAAATTCTTCAATTTTCAACATATCGAATTGGGTCAAGTTCAGTTTATTAAATGAAATCACATCAGGTTACATAATAAATTTGAACGTTTCCGATAATTCCTTGAACTGAGAAAATCTTGCTGAAAATTCTTTGCTTAAAAAATCAATTATGGAAATGAAGTCATCAATAACTGTTTCTTCATTTCGTTTCTCATGGGCATCTAAATTTTTGATTTTTTTTTTTCAAGTTTGGGAAGTACTTGTATAATAATATCGTTTCTGAAAACATACAGTTTAGCTTTAAAAGCGCGAATTAGAACCATCATGCCGATAACTGTTTTATTGGTGCCTTGAAGCTTTACGTTCAATTCACTGAACTGTTGGCATATGTCTGTAAAAACATCATTTTAAAAAAGCCACATTATATCCATCAACTGTGGGTATTGTTCAATTTTGCTCTCATTTTGCAGAAACAGTCTGATTTCTTCCAAGCAATCAACAAATCTTTGAAGTAAGTTCCAGCTGCTCAACCAGCGAACATTATTATACATTAGTAAGCCATTATACACTGAATTGACTTTATCCAACAAAGCATCAAACTTTTACTTATTCAAAGCCTGCGGCGATATGGAATTGATTACTTTTGTGACTAACGTTATTACATTATCAAGAGATATCAAAAGCTACTCTTTGCACATAAAGCTTGTTGGTGAATAATGCAGTGGCATTCAAGAATCGAATATCCTACGTCTTTTTTAAATAAAAAGAAATGAAATCATTTATTATTATTATTATTATTATTATTATTTTGCCTACCATTACCTACCATAATTGATTTTTTTCAAATCAATTTCTTTCTCAGCAAGCAAATTTTTTAATGCCATACCAATATCTGTGCCTTTTGTAGTTTTTTAGAAACGATGTTATTGCAATTAATTCTTCCTTAATGACGTTTCCTACTCAATAGCGAGCAAATACAGCTAAATGCGCAGATTTAGTGATGTCAATACTTTCGTCAAGACATAGCGATATAAAAGGAGCGGAGTTAATGCCATTTTTTTTGTTGATCTGTAACATTTTCGGCCAGTTTTAAGATTCTATCTTTTATTACGTTTCTAGATAGAAGCATATATTTGATGCGCTGAATTATCTTGTCTTTATAATCAAAAAGTAAGGGCGTGCATTCCAACCAAGATTCCTTTAAAAACTCTCCCTCTTGAAAAGGTTTACCATGCCGAGCAATGGCATTTACAGCCGAGTAACTTGCCGCACTAGTGTGACAATTTTTGCTTACATATTTAATCATAGACGTCAACTGTTTGTTGCTGTCTTTTATTGCACTTGCATTCCCACCAATTTATTGCCCGGTGCATTCCCACCCAATCTACTACATTTTTTTCAGTAACTGATACAACTAAGCATTTAAGAGACGAAACAAAAACCTTAGCTTTTTCAGCTATCGATGTGCGTTCTGTACGCCTAAGTTAGTTTCGAATCTTTCAATGAAACTATCGAAATTTTAATTTTCTTCGTCAAATTTTTCAAAGTGTGCAGTTATTTTATAGCTGAATTAAGTGTCTTTATTATGCAGTGCTCGAATCAGTTCTTGATTTTCCCTGAGCAATTCTGGAATTTCCTGCTCCAAAATTCCTCCCGATTTGAAAAAAGAAATAAACTTTTTTTACCTTAAACCATCTTCAGGCAATGCCTTATCGGTAGAATGGTCATCGGGGCACGTGATCTCAGATGAGGTCTTAATCCCCTATCTTTGAGGCTGTTGTTGAATATTCATGATATTACTTGCCACGATTAATTGGGTGGTTAGAAAAAATAATAAAAAAATTTAAAAAATTAAAAGTTAATTTTTGCGACCTTCAGAGTTTAAAAATAAAATTGCTGGAGCTGATTTTTGTTTGTGTTGAAATGTGAGAAGCAGAGTGTATCTGTGTTGACCGATGCTAACTCCATTGCCGGAGGCTAGCGAACGGTCATAGATGTCATTTGAAGGTCATTAGTCATTTGATGTCAGGTAAACTCGCTCGGATGCCAGAAGGAACTCAGCACCTTGTCCGTCGACTTCCAACTGTGAAAAAACCTAACTAAAATTAGATGGTCGCGGGCGCCGGCACCGCGAGGCGCCTATTCCCAGAAGGAAGGGAGGAAAAGAAAAACCATATGTCGGAAGGATGTCAAATACCGAAATCTCACCCGGATGGTGAGGGATGAACGTGCCCCCAAGCACATCGTTCTAACGAAGCACAACGCCGGCGGAGCGGAGGGGGAGAAACGCAGGAAGGAAAACGGGACGGCCAGAGGCAGTTAATCAAGAAGGTGACAGTTCACCAAATGAACCCAAAAGGAATGATGCGTTGTAACGAGACTGCTTATGTTGTTAAGAGTGTGAAAAGAGTGTAATTTTCGTGTTATGGGGGGCGAAGCGGGTTTCTCCACTTCGTTGAAGAGTATGCATATTTAATTTTAGGATGAGGATAATTAAACAATGCTTGTGCTTTAATAATTGGATTGTCATGAGATTCTATCGATTTAAAAACATTTCTAAAGAGTTTAGTGATGTACTGTGAAAAAACCCACCAAAACGGTCTGGTTTTATATTATACTGCTTAGGGGAACACAGAGCTCGCCAATTAGGTAGCTGCGTTTCGTTAGGGTGTGTGTCCTGCGAGTTAGTAGATGATCGGAGTATGGATTAATATGCCAACGGCACCCTCCCAAGTACTGAGCGAGCCCGATGATGCTTAACTTCGGTGATCGGACGAGAACCGGTGTTTTCAGCATGATATGGGTGTTGGCAATGCCTTATCGAAAAGAAAAGAAGATTATTATTTTCTTATTTATTAATTCATAGCGAGCTGAATACTTCCTGTGTTGCTTCACAAAAAAAATTTTTTTTATCGAAAAACGTGTCTTCTTTAAAACGAAAGTATAAAAGCAAAATAGCTCGTCACTATCTATTATGTTTCATGTGAGTTCTTAATGATCAGCTGCATATTACTTTTAAAACTAATTTAATTACATCATGATATTCACGGCACACTACAAGAACATTACACATATACAGAGATTAATTATACATTCCATTCTAAAGTGCAACATTTTCCTCTTCGGAATGATACCATTACAGTTATCAGTCTTAGAACTGGTTACAATTAAACATACTACAGATTGCGATTTAAATCACGGGAGACAAATTCTATTTTGTGCTTGTTGATATCAACTTGATGTACTGCACCTAATATTGCAGATATTTTTTCTCAAAACCATTTCTAATTGACAAATTATTGGAGAGCAATTGTTATGGGAAATATTAGAAAAAAGTATTTATTCATTCCTCTATAGAATTTGTCTTCTTACTTGAAGAAAAATCATGCTTTGGTTTCAAAAATATACAAAACGTTATGTCGTAAGTGCTTAAAAATAAAATTTTGATACTTCTATCTACATTTACATCATGATTGAAAAGTTTCGCTACAAAAGGAAAATAATTCAGATACATAATTTTGGTCTATAATCTAACTAAACACAGAAAAGATTCCATGGTAAGGATAGAAGCCACCTGAGTATTCAAAGAAAAACAAGAATGTTGCCGGTGTATTTATTTTCAATGATTGGTGTAGCTCCAATTAATACTTTTGCTGCTTTTATGAATGGGAATACAAATTCTACAACCTACAACAAATAATAAATTTCCAAGAAATGTCAATTTCTCAAAGAATATGGAAACCAGAATTATATAAAATGGTTTAATGGAAAAGTCCATTTCAGTTACAATAAGAAAGAAGTTAATTATATTGTAAAATATTCAAACTTATAATACATAACACCTGAATGAGGAAGATGAGCAATTTTAAAAGCATTTTCCTGCCATGCACGTGTTATTATTTATCGTAAATACTGTTGATGATAAACAATATTGTCAATAATAAAGTACTTGCAATGAGTAAAAAAAAATTGTAACAAAAGCTCTTAGAATAATTTCGTTTGCTTTAAATTTTAAAAATCTTGTGTGGAATCTAAAGGAAAGGGTTTGAAAGAGAAATAAAAGGGAAATAGGAAAGAGCTAAAACGTAATTGTTTTGAGATAACAATTACTAATAGTTAAAATAGACTATTTGAAAAATAGCATTTGTATGTCTTTTTTACGCGCGAGCTAGCTTAATTACACCCATAAAGGAAAAACGTGACATATTTACAACACGTTAGAAATGTCAATAAATAAAAGGTAGATGCTTATTGAAATTATGTCAAGGAACACACACACACAGGAGGATTCGCTACCAGACCAAGAAACTTGCAGCGTATGTATGGGGTACAGAGACGACCAGTGGTGTAAGAGATTTTAGGGCCCTCTGCAAAGTCAGGACTTGGGCCCCAAGCCAGATCTCAGAAAGGATTGCAAAATTATATTTAAATGGCGTCAGTCAGGCCTTGGGTCCCGTAGAATTTTGCTCCCCCTCAGCGATGCTGGGGTGCACGTTGTGGCCTGCCTTGGTATCCACCTGAAGTCCCCTTAACTGGAACCAGCTTGCGAGCAGAGAGAAGTGAACTGATATGAACGCACACTAAAAAAAACTGTCTTCTCCGAAGATACTCGTTCATTCTTCTCTGCCTGATTCGCACGAGACATCAGCACGCACTCTTCCCTTTATTCAATTTTCATGCATTAACCTAAGTAGTTTGTTAGTAATTTTTATAATGTTCTATATTGTAATTGTAAATTAAAAATATGTTTAATCTTTTTTATCATGAGTTATTATTATTTTTATGGCGTGGATTAAACTTTAATTAGATTCCCACATCACGCCATAATTGGTGACCCTGTTTATAATATTAAAACGAACACGTGTGAATTCAATCAGCTAACATCGAGTTTATATTCCAGAAAAAAACAATGTTAAACTTCTAATCCTCTAATCTTAATCTAATCCATGGATTGTTCCCACCTCCAATTTGTGCAGAAGAGAGATCATTTCATGCGTGAGCTGTCGCTGGAAAATCAGTAAGTTTTTATACTTAACTTTTTCATTTATATGCGCTGTATGTTTTTTTTCCCCTAAAATTTCTATGCACTTACGTTTAACGTACGCTGATTAATTTTTTTTCAAAAACTGTTTGACCATTTCGCGTAGAAATAATTTTTTGTGCATCATATGTATGTACGATGTTTAATCCTGTATAGATATTTCATTTCAAGTATAATTTCAATTTCCAAACTGTTTTGTTTTTCAACAACATACTTATGTAAAATAGACTTATTTTTATTTACTTTCTAACAAACCTAATGAACGCGATAATAAAAAACCAGATATCCCACGTAGCAGTCAAACCACCACCTTTTTAGAAACATAACCCTGCGCTATGGTTTGTGAGATAAGAGACGCAGTTCAACTTAGCAAAAACATCTGATTATATTACTAAATTTAATTATGTTCTGTCTGTGTTGAGTCTGACATATTAAATTCTGTTAGCGACTTGGTTCTAAAGTGCGAAATCTTCAAAAAGCGTCTAATCGAGGTACACTCAGAAAATGAGGCTTCTAAAATTCGAATTCTCCTCCAGGGTTTAGAATTAGGGGACCAACGGTCACCACAGCTTCTTACTTGCATACGTACCCTCGCCGGTGATAATATTTGCGAGCCACTCTTAAAATAGCTGTGGCTCGGACGTTTGCCTAAAGGAACGCAAACAATTCTTGCTGCTCTTAACGAAAATTTAGATTAGCTAGCTACTGTTGCTGATAAAATCAATGATCTGACTTTTCCCCCAGGGAATTAATTCAGTTGCAGAACATTTGAACAAAAAACTGCGCAATTAGAACAACAAATTGCTCAACTTACACAGTAAGTAAGCGAATTAACTATTTTCGTGAAGCGTTCCCGCCCAGCCCACAACTCAAACCATTTCTGCAATCGCAGTAATTCGTGAAATCGTTTTAAAAGGTACCAAAAACCCACAAATGGATATTGCTTACAAATTTTGGCAACAAGGCAAAAAAGTGTGCTACTCCATGCTCTTTTCGTTCGGAAAACTAGAATGGCGATCGTCGCCTGGCCTCAGTGGTGATCGTCTCATTAACCGCGTTTTATTGGCCGATTCTACATCTAAGATAACTTTTTTTTATTGATACAGGTGCGGATAATTCTGTTATTCCGAAATCTTTTGCGTCTTATGCTAAAGTTCAACAAGATTTAACTTTGTACGTAGCGAACGGCATAAAAGTACCGACTTATGGCACAAAACAAATTTTACTTGATTTAAGCTTAGCACACCAGTTTACTTGGTCTTTCATATTCGCAAATGTACGCCAACCAATCATTGGAATTGATTTCCTGAAGCATTTTAATTTGCTTGTCGATGCTAAACATCATAGAGTTATCGTTGCCAACACTAAACTTTCTTCGAACCGCAAACTTCCAAAAATTAAGTCTGTAACACATATAATCTAGCAATATTAGTCGGCAATACTATGTTTGATAAAGTTTTAAAACAATACCCCGAATTAATTAACCTTTCGCAACCGATACATTTTGATACTTCAAATCAAGTTTATCATCACATAGAAACTATAGGGCCCCCAGTATATTTTCAAGGCCTCGTCGCCTCGCACTCTTCATTTTAAAAGCCGTTAAGAAAGAGTTCGAATATCTTACGGCGCAAGGTATAATTCGTCCAAGAGTCCCTGGGCAAGCCCACTGCCTGCCTGTTGTTAAAAACTCTAATGGAGAGTATCGCCCCTGTGGTGATTACCGCAGACTTAATTCAGTTACCATGCCCAATCGCTATCCAGTCCCTCACATTCAAGACTGCACTCAAAATCTGTATGGAAGAACTATATTCTGTACTTTGGATTTGGCCCGAGCGTATCATCAAATTGCAATAAATCCACCGATATTCCTAAAACAGCAGTAATTACCACATTTGGTCCATTTTAGTATACTTCTATGCCTTTTGGACTTCGAAATTCTGGTCAAACATTTCAGAGACACATGCATCAAGTCTTAGATCATCTAGAATTTTGTATTCCATATTTTGATGACTTGTTCATGGCATTTTCCTCCGAGGATAAACAGCTTGACCACTTACATCAAATCTTTTTTCGTTTAAGGGATTACGGTCTCTGGTTAAGCCCCGATAATGTGTCTTAGGCAAAACATCTGTAAAATTTCTGGGTTGTCTCATAACAGCTAACGGTGTTAAACCACTTCCCGATAAAGTCGAAGACATTGCAAATTTTCCTAAGCCAGATACTATTTCACAACTAAAGGCCGTATAACACGTACATTTTTGGTACAATTTTTTCAAGCAATTTTTCGTCTTACTCAGGGGGAAGGGTTGCCGTAAGCAAAACGAGATAGTCTGACGTCAGCCACGCTCTATCTCCACATTGAAAAATTACTCGCCGATTTTTCTGCTTCGGAAAACGAACATCCAAAATTATTTCATTTAATTTGCTTGGGATTTTGTTGATGGGCGTAAACAGAAATTGAGCACCATGCTGTTTAAAATATTATACACCATTAAAATATACAGCATATCTGATGTGTTGGACGAAAACGAAGCTGCCATCTTGTTTATGACGTGGGGCGCCGAAGAACCCCATTGGCTAGAATTTCAAGCAATTTTTATTTGGAAAAATTTTTTGAGCTCACTAGCAAAAAGTTGTTTGAAAACCGTTGCTATAGCAACTGAGTAAAAATTGCACGAATTGGTTGAAAAATTGCTTAAAACGTGTATGCGTGATGCGGCCTTCAGGCTTTTCTTCGGCCATGCTAAATTTTTATAGGCGTT